AACTAATTTAACTGAAAATTTTCACACACAAGCCATCTCAACACTGTTTCTGAGTAGTTCCAAACCTCCTGTTTTCTTGAGTGTGTGACAATCTCACACACATCCTCTCTGGAAATTCAGGGAGGCATAAGTGAGATTTTATTGTATGTGTACAACTATGGGGGGGGGGGAGGAGGAAAGTGGGCTGAGAATTTAACTAAACTCAGATAATCAGGTAATATGTGGCTCTTATCATTACCAGCTTTTTGATCACTTCCCCCTGACAGGATTGCCTTGCCAGGCCACAGCAGAAGAGACCTAACTCAGTCCTGATGGGACTTTATGAGCTGAGGTGGGTGGGTAGAGGAGCTTCCCTTTTCTGAGGAGTAGGGGAAGGGGAGGAGGGGGAGTACTGGAAGTACCCACTTGATAGGACAGTGAGATTGGGTGCTGGAGGTTGGAGCCACGAACCTCTGGTACCCAGAAGATATCTAAAGCTACATGTACCCAGAGGGTATCCACAGGACAGTGAGAGCAGCACCTGAGGTTGGAGCCTCGAGCTGCTGGTACACGAAAGATATCCACAGATGGTGGAATTGGATGGGTGGTCTGAGGCCTCCCGTGCTAGCAGAAGCCCAGGAACTTTCCCAGGATTAGATGGGTGACCTGAGGTTAGACCCATCCATTTCCCTCCCCATGGGCTCTCCTTTCATCTGGGAAAAACAGATGTTGGGGTTTGGGGACCACAGTATGGCCTGTCTGTCGGTCTCTCTGCTCTCACTGTTGTCCTGCTATTCAGATAGCTTGTGTAATCGGTGCCACCATATTGGGTCTCTCCTCTAGTTTATTTCTTTATTTATTCCCTACCCAGTGGTCACTGAGTAGTTTTCATGAGTTTGTAGGTTTTCTGTTATTTCTGTTGTTGAGGAGTTCCAGCCTTAGTCCATGGTGGTATGATAGGATACAATGGGATATTTCAATTCTTTTCTATCATTTGAGGTTTGCTTTGTAACCTAGTATATGGTCAATTTTGGAGAAGGTTCCATGTGGTGCTGAGAAAAAGGTATACTCTGTTGTGTTTGGGTGAAATGTTCTGTAGATATCTGTTAGGTCCATTTGATTCAAGATGTCAGTTAGTTTCAGCATTTCTCTGCTTAGTTTCTATTTCATTGACCTGTCCATTGGTGAGAGTGGGGTGTTGAAGTCTCCAGTTATTAATGTGTAGGGTTCAATGTGTGATTTAAGCTTCAGTAATGTTTTCTTTTATGAATGAGGGTGCTCTTGCATTTGGAGCATAGATGTTCAGAATTGAGACATCATCTTGGTGGATTTTTCCATTGATGAGTATGAAGTGTCATTCCCCACCTCTTGTTTGCTTAAAAGTCTATTTTATTAGATAGTAGAATAGCTATTTCTTCTTGTTTCTTGGGCCCATTTGCTTGGAAGAGCTTTTTCCAGCCATTTATTTTGAGGTAATGCCTATCTTTACTGCTGAAGTGTGTTTCTTGTATGCAGTAAAATGATAGATCCTGTTTTTATTGTTCATCCATTTTGTCAACCTGTTTCTTTTTATTGGGGGAACTGAGTCTGTTGACATTGAAAGATATTAATGAGTAATGACTGTTGATTCCTTTAATTTTGATATTGGTGATTGAAGTGGTCATATGTTTGCTTCCCTTCTTTTGTTTTTGCTGGTGTGAAATTAATTATTTCCAGTGTTTTCTTGGGTGTAGTTACCCTTGTTATGTTTTTTTTTTCCTTCTAGTATCCTCAGTTAGTGGAACGAATTGTTTAAATTTGGTTTTGCCATGTAATATCTTGTTTTCTCCATCTACAGTAATTGAAAGTTTTGCTGGGTTTAGTAGTCTGGGCTGGCATCTGTGGTCTTTTAGTGTCTGCAAGATATCTGCCAGGCCTTTAAAAGTCTCTGCTGAGAAGTCTGCTGTAATTCTGTTAGGTTTGTCTTTATATGTTACTTGGACCTTATCCCTTGTGGCTTTTAATATTCATTCTTTGCTTTGTACATTTAGTGTTTTGATTATTATGTTGCAAGAGGACTTTCTATTTTGGTCTAATTTATTTGGTGTGCTGTTGCATAGAGGCATTGATGGGTTATTTCCACTAACGAAATAAGCCAATCCAAGCTAGATTAATAGTACAGAAAGGGTAGGTTTATTTGGGAACTGAGGCTCTGGGGTGAGTTCAGCAGTCTCAGAGGATGAGGCCAGAGGAAGTCACACCCAGACTATGAAGGTCAGGACTTTTAGGCAAAGGAAAATGACGTGTCTGCCATCTGCTGGACTGGGGGAGCTGGTGGCTCCAGGTGAGGTGGGGGTCAGATTGAGGTGGTCCACAGGAACTGAGGGGCTTTCCTCAAAGGGGGCAGGGTTGGAGAGAGAAAATGGAATTTATGGATCATGGCAGGAGGGCAGGGTGAGAAACAGGAGATGCCAACAGAGCAGGCATTGCTTTCTTTAGGTTAGGAAAATTGTCTTCTATGATTTTGTTGAAGATATTTTCTGGGCCTTAGAGCTAGGAACCTTCTCCTTCTATTCCTATTACTCTTAGGCTTGGACTTTTTATGGTGTCCCAAATATCCTGGATGTTTTGTGTTAGAAAGTTTTTAGATTCAGTATTTTCTTTGAACAATACATTGATTTCTTCTACCATATTTTCTATACCTGAGAGTCTCTCTTCCATCTCTTATAGTGTGTCGGTAATGCTTGCATCTGTAGTTCCCATTCTCTTTCCTGGTTTTCCTCCCCAGGACTGCCTCCAATTGTGTTTTCTCTATTGCTTCTATTTTCCCTTTCAGGTTTTGAACAGTTTTATTCATTTCCTTCTCCTGTTTGCTTGTATTTTCCTGTATTTCTTTGAGGAATTTATTCATTTTCTGTTTAAAGGCCTTTACATCTTTATAAGATGAGATTTAAGGTCTGTGTGTCAGGCGTGTTAGGATATCCAGGGCTTGTAGTAGGATAGCCTGGTGCTGGTGGTGTCATATTGCCCTGGGTCTTGTTGAGTGTGTTCTTACACTGCCCTGTAGCCATCTGGTTGTCCCTGGTGGCTGTTGCCTCTGGTAGTTACTGAAGGCTGCTGTCTCTGAGATTGCAGGCAGATCTGGGACTGGTGAACTGGTGCATGGAGGGGATGGGGAAAACCTCCCCGCTGCTGGTAGTCCCCACTGACTGCTGCTTCTGGAAGCCCAGGCAGAGCTCTGCTGCTAGTCCCTAATGGCTGCCACGTCTAGAACTGCAGGCAGAGCTGCCACCCAGGAACCGGTGGTGTGGAGGTCATGGAACAGACCTTGCCACTACTGGTCCGGAGTTAACACTTACCTGAATACTGTTCTCAAACATTGTGCTGTGCTTAAATATGGCTACAACAAAATAATCTGGGCCAGACTCAAAGTCGTGGTCCTGAACTAGTTACAATAAAATCAGACTGAGCTGAGTTTCACTCTTTTCTGTTCGTGTATCATTTCCCCCTTGCCCGCTGTGAAGACTGCAGAGACTCACCACACACAACACGCTGATGTGACAGTGACAGCACACGCTGAGTCTTTTCTGGCTGACTCCCGGGAAAGGAAGAAGGAAGTTTCCAGAGTGCGGCTGCTCAGCTGCCACAGCTGGCCCCGGTTCCTCTGTGCAATGAATTATATCAAAGTCAGCTGCTGAACTGTGCCCACCCAAGGGCCTGATGACACAAGGACACCTGTCTTCATGACAGCACCCTGAGGGCAGGATTGTCAAAGTCATTCATAGTGTGTGAAACTTCCATGCTTGCTCCTTTCTTCTTCTATGACTTTCTCAGGAGTGCCCAGTGATTCCCTGGGCCCCTCCACGGTTGCAGAAGTCCAGTGGTCTAGAAGTAGGCTAGAAGAAGGAAAGGAGGAGGGATCTAGTGTGAGTAGAAGTTAATGAGTGCCGCTTGCCACTTTTTCAGAAGCCGAGGAATTAATGGGGAAAAGTACAAAGAACGAAGTACCCAAAATGCTGTAATATGTTCAATTATTAGAATTAATTATATATTACTGAATTATATATTAATTAAATATTACTGAATAGTCCTTCGTGCCTCAGAGTATTATACTGCATTATATATTGTGAAATGTGCTGTTATAAATGTATGAAAATCCCAACCATTCTATCTTACCAGTAAAGACTCAGGAGCCAGATGCTGGGGTGGAAACCTGCTGGCTTAGAGAGGCAGAGAAAGCACCCAGCTGACCTTGCTTGTCAGCTCACATTCCGAGGGAAAAAGGCCAAAAGGCTCACTAGCTCAGCTGACAGGCCAGAAAGAAAAAGACAAAAAACGCAAGGCCAAAAGCTTACTAGCTCAAAGCTCAAAAAGCCAGAGAGCTAAAGCTCAAGAGCTAGAGAGCTAAGAGCTCCTTCTGCTTCTACACAATGTCTTAAATACCCCTCAACTAAAGTCCTTCCTACTCTTTAATCCCCATCAGCTGGTTTCTTGCTCTGCCTCTTGACCTGGTGTTAACTTTATTAAATCCTGTGTACAGAAATCTCTTGTATTAAATGTGTGTGCTAGGGAAGGCTGAATCACACCATAATCACCTGTTTACAGTCAATAGAACACCACCCCAAACAAGAAACAGTGTTTTACAATTCACAATTTTAGGGTTCAAGCGGGATCAAATATCCTGCCACAGAAATGTTTTATTCGTCAATATTACTATGACTGGTGATATTATTAGTAATCAAGACAGTTCATTAAATATTACTTAGAAGCAATTTAGGCTTTTCAAAGATACTTCCTCTCATCTTCATGCATTTTCCCAGCTTGCTACTGTTCTCTGCTTAACACTTAGACAACTGAGGTTCAAAAATGTGGACTTGGGCAATACACAGCTCTGGAACGTGGTTTTGTTAGTGATTTTTCGGAAGTTACTGGGAGTTTCTGAAATAGGAAGTGCCAACTTCATCCACATGTCCACAGTCTCTAAGCAACACATCCTGTGTGGTAGTGAACGCTGAAGGAGGAAATGCTGGGACAGTCAGAAATTCAGAAGTAGGAACAAGGATCGGACTTCAAGAACCCAGAGGTAAAGCTCTTGGGGCTCCTGAGAGTCCAGCTGGGAGCAACTGGGAGGCAAGGCACACAGGCTCAGGTAGGCAACCCTCGAGATGCTTTGCTCTGCAGTGTTGTGTTTCCGGGTCTGTATTAGGGAGAATTTTTGGTCTTCATGAAAGTGATGGAGACACCTGGGTGCTTCAGAACTAAACGGGCAAAGGGATGGGCAGCTGGCTTACCTCTGTCACTGCTATTTGTATCTGCATGATCTTGGAGGTCACTGGCCTAAGGTCACGTGATTAACAGGAGCAGAGCTCTTTTCCCTGCAAAGGCTCTCAGGATGTTCACTAAATGGGCAACCTGAGGATGAAGAGTGGCACAGAGAAAAGAGAGCCAAGCTGAGCTCAGAAACCAGCACCACAAGCAACTTGGTCCTTCTAACTCACAAGGACACAGTTCTGACCTTGAAACTCAGGTTATGACTTCAGGACTTCACACACAAATGCATTCAGCTGCTTCTCCACAATGAAGTGTCTCAGACACAGGCTGCCATTGGCAGATGGAAAAACAAAGAGAGGAACCTGAGTCAGAGACAGCTGGGGTTCAGCACCAAACTTTGTGTAGGCGACCGGCAAATAATGAGAACTTTAAATATTTATTTAACATTGATTTTATGTCAATGTACAAACATAGAGGATTGTTTGTAGGACTAAAAACAGTATAAGATCACATCTACTAAAACAGGATAAAACATGAAATGCTACTTCTAAAAATGTTTTCATTAGATACACAAAATAGACAAATGGAGTTAATTATTTTGAGTGGTATGTAGAATGAGTTAGAAAGTGCTGAAGGTTGAATTTTAATATGTCATGCCTACCAGAATAACCAGAGGGTGAAAGTTATTGAATTTTTAAAATGTGTTTGAACTAGGTAGAATTGAAGAACGAGCCAGAGCTACAAAATTTTGCAAATTTTGTGTGAATATTTGAGTATGGGCACAGGAACCTCTGGTGATTCAGACTGTCCCTTTCTGTTGTGTTTATTATCTAAAATCAGTGGGCTGTTGTAGAGGAATGTCTTGTGTGTTGTATGAATGCAGCAGCTGTCAGTAAAAATCAGATTGGCCCATTAGCTAGGCTGAGAGAGGAAGGTGGGACTTCCTGAAAAAGAGAGTGGGGAATATTGGGAAGGAGAAGACTGAAGGTCTTTTCAGGGGAGAGACAGAGTTACTGATGGACCTGAGAGGATAATTGGACATGTGGCTGGGTGAGGCAAGGCTGACCGGTTAGCTTAGATGAGCTAGGTGACCATCTGCCCAGCTAAGGCCTAACCCTTGAAAATGTTAAAAGGTCTTGGCATCTTCATTCTTATGGTCTAATGGCCTCCTTGGGGCTTAGGACTTTCTTCACCAGGAGACATAAGCCCCGGACTTCAACAGGCTTACTTCATATTATGCAGAAAGGCCTCCTGAGTCTGAGGTGTGGTGGGTTTTCATTTCTCTGTACCACCAGTTTCTTCTGCGGGAGGACAGGTCAAGAATGCACAGAGGTGCACAGTCTGGGAGGTGGGGGCAGACCATGGGGGCACGGTTTGTTTGTTTGTTGTCAGAGTCAAAGCATTTGATTTATTATTAAAAATTCATACAATATATTCTGATCATGGATTCCCCTCCCCTGTCTCCTCCTAAATCCCCCCTACCCATCCAGCTTCGCACATTCTTTCTTCTCTCTCCCTCTTTAGAAAACAAACAGGCAAATCAAAGAGAGAGAGAGAGAAAGCAAGCAAACAAAAAAAAAAAAAAAAACCTCGACAGTGAACACTGTTCTTTTTGACAGCTGAGTCCACTTTCTCTTCCAGCTGTGGGAGCTCCATCATGATTCCACAAGTAGTGACCAATGAGGCTGTCACAGTGATTTCACCAAATGGAATCCACTTTCCCCAAACAGACAAAACCCAGCCAACCCACCAGAAGCAAGACAGCCTGAAGAAACACCTAAAGGCAGAGGTCAAAGTGTTGGCGGTAAATCCCACCCAGACCACCCTGGGGGCGGGGGAGGGCACAGGGAGGAGACTGTGTATTCGAACTGGAAACAGATTTGGGGTGTGAATTTGACAGATTGATCATGGAGTGGTCTGCGGCCTGCTGGAAACCCTTTGGCAAGCTGCTTACACCTCTAAGACTTTCCATAAATTGGCAAGTATTTGCCTTTAATTTGATGTACCTGGAATGAACTCCAATGAGTCACTGAGATTTTGTTTAATTAATTGTTTTCCTTTTTGGAGAGCAGTTGCTGGTATTTTAGTTCTGGAAATAATTTGTACATACATTCTAGGTGCTCTCTGAGTGTAGAACACCCTTCCCCTCTCTTGTGAGATGCAATGATACAAAAGGACCATTGGTTTGCCTCTGTGCTCCTCCTGGACTTACTAAAGAGACTTTGTTTTGGGTAAAGGAAGGAGCTGAGAAAGAATGGATGTTCTCTGCTGTGAGGAACAATGGAGTTGTTTTTCACACCAACACTATCTGCATGCGTGTCTGTGTTATTCAGTATCAGAACTGAATGGAACTGATGGCCTTGCCTTGTGCATTTAATCCTCTGGATTCCTTTGAAGTACATGTAACAAGTTTAGAAAACTGCTTAATTAAAACTACAAGAGTTGTGCATCTGTGAGGTGAAGAAAGTGTCAGGAAGACAAATTTTCTTCTGAAATGGAGGCAGGGATCAACAGAATGAACACCTGGACTACAGATGCTGTGGAGCTGGCCCAAGAGGCTGCCTCTATGTGGTGTTCTGTGGATTCTGGGAGATGTGCGGAGAGGTTCCCACAGTCTAGTGTTCACAGTAGGAGGGCTTTCAGATCCTCTTCTTCCCACAAGAGGGAGCAGCAGACTTGCTAAGCATGGACTCATAGCTCAGCCCTGGCCAGAAGCTGCTAGGAAGGGTCTTGAAGCATACAAGTGATTCCTAGACAGAAATACCTGAAGGTGGCCTGAGGCTGTGGCAGAACCACACCCCCTCCAGAATGAACTTTCCTCTCTCACCCCAGAGCTTTTACAATGTCTATGTGCTCGCTGGGAAATTGTAGAAAGACACAATCATGAGCACTGTGGGAGAAGCGGAACAATGACAAACCTGCTTGCCACTGCTGGCCTTAATCTTCAGTCTCTCTTCTTTCAACAGGCCATCCAGATCATGTGTGGTGTGGTGGTGTTGAGTCTGGGCATCATTTTGGCATTTGTTCCCTATGCCCAACATTTTACCTCAGTGTTTTCTGTCCTGTTAAAATCTGGCTACCCGTTTGTAGGAGCTTTGTTTGTAAGTAGACTTCTGTGGGGAGGGCAGGGAAGGGAGCTGTCACCTGGCTGCATTTCTGTGTACTGGGAACAAGAGGTTGACGGTAGATCTTGTTTTTCTGTGTGCCATCCATAGAAAGTCTTAGTGTAGACAGGCAGTAGGAACGTCATTTATTTCATATAACCATGTCTTTGAACACCAACTTTTTACCTCACCCATTGAGTTATGATGACCTACGTGGGCTCTTGGGTTTAGGGAAATGTCCAGGAATTGGGATCAAAATGACCCAGAGCTTCCTGTAGAGTTCAGTGATGGCCAGGGAACCACCTGCAGAAAGGAGCATTCATGCTTATAATCTGCCATTGTTGGAGACACTCAGGGTGAAAGGATGGACAGTCCTCTGAGACTGTCCCCGTCTGGAGCATGACAAGAAATGGAATGTACAGGCCAACATCCTAAAAAATGTAGCTCAAAACTCCTCACTAAAATATTAGCATGTTAAAAACTACATATTAAAAAGTTGTTTCAACATGTTCAAGTGAGATTTCCTGAAGGAAGTCTGCATGGTTTATATATGTAAATCAGAGTGTCATAACTATTAAGGAAAGGAGGGACAAAAAAATCCCATAACGATTTTCCATTCTTTCTCCCAGTAGACCAATGCCTGAGACTCTAAAATCATCTAATCCCAAACTTTCCTTTCCAATTAACAAAATATATTTTTGCTATCTCTTAAAGCCTTTATGAATTTTAATGGGATAGATTTCTGTTCTTATCTACCTTTTTCTTGTCTTTTCTGAATAGCACATGGGCAAAGACACACCTCTGTGAGCCTAAGTGTATGTATCATTGGTCATTTGTTCCATGGGAGATTTGTCATAAACACTAAAGGGTAAACTGTGGTCACTCTGTACATAGAAACTGGCCTGACAGTGGTTTCCTCTTCTCTGAGCAGTTTATAATCTCTGGAATTCTGTCCATCATCACCGAGACAAAGTCAACAAAGGCTTTGGTGAGTACAAGAAGCCATAACCCAGAACTGATAAACGTGAGTCCCAGAGAGGACACATCAGGGCCAGGCTTTCCATGTTGAAAGTTACAAGCTAAGCTCTATGGTGATTATTTGTTCTGTTTGTAAGCTGATTCTGGATTCTCCATATCCCTCTATAGGGTATTTTCCTCCTATCACAGTGACCTAATCATAGTGCACCTAATGTCTGAGAAGAGTGCCAAGGAATCTCATGTAAAGATACTGCTTTCTGGCTGGGGAGATGGCTCAGAGGTTAAGAGCACTATCTGTTCTTCCAAAGGTCCTGAGTACAATTCTCAGCACCCACATGGTGGCTCACAACCATTTATACTGAGATCTAATGCCCTCTTCTGGCATGCAGGAGTAGATGCAGATAGAGCACTCATCTACATAAAAATAAATAAATATATATCTTTAAAACACACACAATTTTTAAAAAAAAAATACTGTTTTCTTGATGCCAATGTGTAGGCAACAGGCTGTGATGATTAATCTTGATCATCAACTTGACTGGATTGAGAAACACCTAAGCGATTAATAAAGAATATCTCTGGGTATTGGTTCCATTCCCTAAGATAAAGATCCAGGTGAAAAAGAAAAAAGAAATTGAAATGTACTCAGCAAAAATATCCTCTCATAGACTCTCTGACCACTATGTTGTGAGCTGCTCTTCTGTGCCACAAGTCACACAGTGATGGGCTGAGCCTCTGAAACTGACCAAATATGTATTGTTCATGTGAGGCTTTTTGTCATGACAATAAAAGTCGATAACACCAAAGCTTGCAATTTTATTCTTCAGCAGTGAAGATAATATCTTATTGTTAAGGAGTTGCATTTGAGAATTACCAGACCAATATATATATATATATATATATATATATATATATATATATATATATACACATGTATATATATGTATATGTATAAATATATATATGTATATATATATATGTGTGTGTGTGTGTGTGTGTGTATTTATACATACACACATACATAGAGGTAATGCTCTTGCCAGACTTGAGTATGCATTTTTGAACTGAGAAGCTGTATATTTGAATTATAGAATGTTACGGTTATTTTTATAAAACTGTGTTTGTCTCTCAGGTTTTCTCTTCCCCCAGCTAACACACAAATAGTTGAGACTCTTTTATATTTGTTTAATAACAAGTTTCAGGACACAATCCTGAGAAGTATTAACTCTCTTCTTAACCCTCTAAGCTAATCTGTCTTCCTCCCTCCATACATTCCAGAGAAACTTTCAATCTGTAGCTTTTCTTCTCCCAATTCTTCTCCTGATGTTTATTGGACCTCTCCCTGGCCGAATACCCTTTTCCTCTTCTCACTTCTCTATTCTGGGTTGGCAGAAAGTCCAGCCTTATTCTCTTTCCTGCTCAGTGATTGGCTGTAAGGTGCTGTATTAACCTTATATTGGGGGACATTTGGGGAGAAGAAAGCTGAACTATAGGAAGAAGCTTTTGAAATCTGTAAAGATTCACCCAGTCATAAGTCAACTCATGCTCCTCAAAGAGTTGATTCAATAAGTCCTGGAAGAGAATGCCATGTAATGCAAGAGTTTAAGGATTTAGTTCGTAAGAGCTGACTGAGACAGTCTTCCAATTATGTAAAGTATTAATTACTTTTCTGTTGCTGCAGTATAATACCATGAGTAAAAGCAACTGAAAATATAGGTACTTTCTAAGTAGAGAAAGGTTTAGGAAATATGCTTAAACAATGCTAAAGAAGGTTCTTTTCATTCAGTGAACGGAGACAAAAGAAGAATGCCAGCTAGAGTAAACCTAGTTTGTTCTAAGAGCATACACACTATCAGCATCCTGATTGCAATTATTGTTCAAGGCATCCAAATGTTTGATTTTAGTCACTGTTTATGGAAAGTGGCATCCAAGTTCTGAGTGAGTTATACAATCTGTCTAAAATACAAGCGTTCTAAAATTAAATCCCACTCCAGTGCAATACAGCTGGGTGCACCCTGGAAATGCCTACCTATCACCATAGTTCTCAGATAGTCTTTCGCTCAATTTTCATTTTCTATAAGTTGAAGAAGAAATCCACTATTGAGAAAAGTTTATTTTGTTGACACCATAAATGTGGTAGAGATGAGATCCCAAGTGAACATTGGAAATGATTAATCAAGAACAATGAGAGGCTGAGGACCTCTGGCACTGAGGCTTCAAGTTACCAACATCTAGTCCTGTTCTGGGTTGTTTGTTTGTTTGTTTGTTTGTTCGTTTCTGCCTCACACTGTTTCCACAAATGACAACATACTTTCTCCACATGGCGTTAGTTATAGTCTATCATAAGACTTTCCAGACTCTAAAGAACAAGGCCCCCCTCTGGATGTATGTGCTTCTGGGAGAGGTAGTGGGTAAGGAATGAAGTTCTTCACCAGCCTTTTCTGTGTGGTTGATCCATGGGGTGGGGATGGGAAGGATGTGGTATTCTGAGTGTGTCAGCCAGTATTGGGTGCATCCAAATTTAACTCTTGAGATAACTCACAAGCAGGAATGGTTAAACTGGGCTCATATTTTTGAGGATTAGTAGTGTCCACTGTTGGTGAATTCATTTTTTCCAAGCTTGTATACAGGCAGTGGGTATGTCATGCTAACAGAGCAAAGACATGTGCCATATAGCAGCAATGAAGAAAACAAGATGAAGGTCTCTTGTTCTGGTCTACCCCCTTTATGGGCTCTTCTCCGATGTCCAATCTTTGATCCGGAGACACTTTTTAAAAATTCTGACACCTCATGGTATCATCTCTCTGGGGTTAGGTAATTAACACAGGGTGTCTCAGCCACATCAAATTCAAACTATAGCATTGAGAGGACATATAGCATTGAGGGACAGGGAACAGAGCTGGTGTCTGTACCTCATCTTGAGAACTTTCCAGCTTCACATTGCAGGGTTTCATTAAAAGTCGTGGGTGAAGTTTTTGCCAGGAAAATATTTTCTTTCTCACCATTGAAATCTTGTTTATTCATCCAACTGCATTTAGGCTTCAGGTTTGTGTGTTCCTGGACTTTCTCTGGGCCCAATACATGCAGTGGTAGTTGGCTGAAGTGATCTAGCAAATCTCATCTGGGAAATGGAGCATGGGAAAAATAGGGATGGAAAACCAGAGACTCTGCTCTTTCTGATGGTCACAATTAGGAGTAGGGGAGAACAGAGAAATAAATTATTAATCTGTTGTCTGCTAATGAAGACAAATAAAGAGAAACTGTGCAGCATTTTGGAAAAGGGGTATAAGTGATGCCTGCCGCTCATTTCAGGTAGATGGCAGCCTGGCTATGAACATCCTGAGTGTCTCACTTGCGATCATGGGCGTCGTCATCCTCTCTGTAAACCTGGCTGCTCTGCAGCCTGCTGCCGAGCGGTGTGAATCCAGCAAGGAGATCGCGCCAACTGCACAGTTCCCTTACCACTATGGGTACGGATACCGCACCTACTGCTCCACCACCAAGGCTGTCCTGGCAGTAAGTGCTCCTAACGGCTGCATGGAATACTTTCAGTTTGGGGGGAAATGGTGGTCTTTTCCTACCTTTTGAAGAATCTTTCCCTTTTCCTGGTTTGAAATCTTGGAGAAAGGTCAAAACTGAATAGAGCAAAGATAAACAATGTTAACGCTTTTAACCCCAAATCCTTTTTTTTTTAATCCCCCAAATGATTCTGAGTTAAAAGCATTAATGCACTTTCCAGAGGGCTGCATATAGAGAGAGATTGGACAGAGATTTTTTAGCACAATGGGAACTCTATACTTAAGTCTATACTTTTTAAGTCTGTACTTAAAAGACAACCAAAGGAAATTTAAAATTTTGGTCTTGTGACTACAATAATATTAGCAGTATTTTCCCAGAAATTGAATAATAGCTTATCGGAACTCCATTGACTCTTAAAATTCTATTTTTTTTTTAAGGAGTATAACAATAGTATAGCTAAGAAAAGAAATTTGAAGCACACTTCACTTTTTAAATATACCTTAAGTCATTTTCTTAGACCTCTACAACTTACATTGCCACACCTTAAAACACTTTCTTAAGTTTAGATCTTTACGATTTGCGTCTAAAAACACTTTTTTAGACCTTCAGAACTTACAGAGATCTAGGAAAGTGAGGGTTTTGGAAAAGGGTGGGTTCCAATAGAGGGAGAGGAGCAAGTGCCTTAGTAGGCAGAATTGCCCATGTGGTGGGAAACGGAAGGGTGCATCAGGGAGATGGTTACATGGGCACTCCAAAGGGCATAGCAGGGAATTGACCACATGACTGGTCTCGGCCTTCCTGCCCGGGTGAGAAGGTATCCAGGAAACCCACAACTCTGAAGCCTGGGAAGGTATCCCAGCTCTGAGGTACAACAGTGTCCAAATGGAAGAGCATCCTGAGACATGAGAGCCCAGGAATGATACAAGTCTGAGAGGAGGCCTCCTCAGCAGAGATATTGCAGCTCCCAGGAGAGGGTATCCCTAGCTGAGCTGAGGAGCTCAGGTGCCTAAGCTCTGCTTCTTCTCCAGCCATGGAGCTCCCAAGGAAGTGTTTCACCAACCCCTGCTGAGCCGAAAAGCTCAGAAGCCTAAGCCCTGCTCCTTCTCCGCTTCTTTTCTGGGTTTCTTGGCTTCTTCCATTGAGAGAGTCACAGCAGGCAGCAAATGTCTTAAAAGAGATTTATTGGAGGGACAAATCCAGGAGAGAAAGGATGAATTCAGGAATTCAGGAATCTTCTGCTCCCAGGAAAATATAGCAAAGAACTGAGCAAACAGCACCTTTAAGTAGGATGTGTAGAGGGAGCAGAACTTTCTAGGACAGAGATTTCCAGAGTGAGGATTGGTAGGATTTCTTAGCCATGAACTTAGGGGAAGCTTAGAAATAGCTGTGGTTTTATTCAGACTTTTCACCTAAAATTAGCATAAATCTGAGAGGGGTCCACTAAGGGTCCACTAAGGGGTCCACTAAGGGGTCCACTAAGCTAGAGGAAGCTTAGAAATAGCTGTGGTTTTATTCAGACTTTTCACCTAAAATTAGCATAAATCTGAGAGGGGTCCACTAAGGGGCTAGAGATGGCCATTGTGACAGAGGCTCAAACTGCCTGTTTGACAGTTAGAGAGGTGTGGGGAAGGGACCTAATTACCTAATGCCTCAAGGGGTTTACACAGACTTGTACTCTGAGCTAAATGAAACAACTTTCCTTAACTAAACGATGACTTTATACCCAGGGCTCAGATTCCTGGTCCTGGTCTCTGGCTGACAGTGCTCCCCACCTCGGAAGGATGGCTGTTTTATACTGTGTTGCCACAGACAGGCAGACTAGCTCCAGCTGGACACACCTCGCTCACCCTGAGCTCCCTGTCAGCAGCAGCTTTAACTTAGGCCTCAGGTGCTGCTGCTTCCTCTGTGGCTTCAGCTTCTCAGTTTCTTCAAGAGTCTAATCTCAGGTCCCAGGGCCTTGGGGTTTAGCCTCAGCTGTTCTGGAGTCCTGAGGTATGGAGAGGGGAGCAGCACAGCCTGAAGATCCAAGCCCCACTTTCAGGGGCCACAGGTGTAACAATCAGGAGCAGAAGAGCTGAGGGACTACCCAGGGAAAGATGTAGAGGGAGTGCAGAGGACACACACACACGAGCACACACAAACACACACACACACACACACACACACACACACTCACACACACTTTCCTACAAAGCATACAATGTTTACAAAGCATGCAATGTTAACAAAGGGAGTCTGGCGGGGGAGGCTTTCTCTGCTGTGAATTGCCAACAGTGGCTACCCAAAAAGGCATGACAGAGAGCAGAGAGATGGATGTTTAGATAAGGTGGAGGGAAGAAGGAGCTGAAGAGGCAAGCTCTAGAATCACATTTGGTGGGTGGTGAAAGCCAGCAGAAAGGAATGATCCATACACACCTCAGGAGAGGCCTATCAGCAGCTTGATTAGGAACAGCAGCCTTCCTTCAGGAGGAAACGCATTTATGCCACAGCTAGAGTGTCAGTACCAGATGAATGAAAACATAAAAAGGAAACAACATGATTGTTCCTAGGTATGGTGGAGGAGAATGTTTGTTGTAGACAAAAAAGGAAGCCTGTCATCCGGAGTCAGAGACACCTGGTAAAGTCTAGAGTGAACATGCCCCTGAGCCCTGTGGGGAAAGGGAGAGGAAGAGGGAAAGGGACCAGATATGGTAGGCAAGAGGACAAAGGCACAAAAAGGGCAAGTTATCAAAATGGCTGGATTGCATAGGGATGAGTAAGCATCCCACCTGGGCTGGAGAGGTCAGGGTGTGGAGTGGGGCATGCAGACTAGGAGGACCCTAATAATAGGTAGGGGCTGAGGGATGCTAGGAGAATCTGGTGGCCATGTTCACTCAGGTATGCTAAATAGGCACCTTAGCCTCTTGTCCTAAAACCTGAGATGTAACAAATAAGAACATGGAATTAAAAGGCTAGAATAAGGGGTTACATGGTATTAACACGGAGTTGAGGGGAAATTACTAAATAAATGTAGGTGATGAAACCATAAATATTATTGCTATTAAGAACTGAAAGGAAGCTTTGATTTTAAAAAGCATAAATCATGAGAGCTCAAACCAAGAGCCCTGGCCCACAGCTTTGTGAATTCAGAGGAAAACATACCCCCAAAGACTCAGGTGATCTGGAAATGCCCACAAGGAAGCCATGCACGCGTGTGTGTGTGTGTGTGTGTGTGTGTGTGTGTGTGTGGTGGTGTGGTGGAGGGCATGAAGTGAGCTGAGCAAAGCTCAGCTGAGCACTGAGAAATGGATGGTAGGAGGGGCAGGGGTAGGGGTGTCAGGGTGTCTGCTCCCTCCAGTGATCACAGTAGGCAGCACCAAGGCCCCTGTGGAGGCAATCTCACTGCTCTTTCAGCACAGTTCACAAATGAGGTGGTTAAATGAAGAGAAAAGAAATACAGAGAGGTGGGGAACAGTAATTGGCGGTGCTGTGAGAAAACTCTATTTTCTTGGAGGTAATGAAATGGGACTAACATGCCTTCAATGAAAACATCTAAGGACATGCATTTGGTCCCCAACTCATGGAGAGAAAGTTGGGCAAGATAACAATGAAGAGAGCCTGCATATTATTCATTCTGTTATGAAAATAAGAATGGGGGCGGGGAAGCTACCCCGGGCAGGAGATAATCAGGCTAACCTCAAGCTTTCTCAGATCCTAGTAGAGCTGGGTCCGGTGTGTCTTCCTCAGTTAAAAAGAAAAAAAAAAAAAGAAAAAAAAAGAAAAAGTCTACGTAAATTAGATTCATAACAATAGGTTAAATTACCACCTAACCTAAGCCTGACTTTAGAAGCCTGAAGCATTGAGAAGGAATCTGCACAGACACCAAGGATGATGGCATCCTTGTGTTCACATTTGAACACAAGGTTCACATTTGAAGTCAGAGAATGGGCTGAGCCTATTTGTGTCTAGGCATAGTGTCTAGGCAGTGGAGGCCTGTTCTGTCTCCACTCTGCCTGTGTGTGTGTGTGCAGATAATAAAGAGTTTACAACATGACATTCATGTTCCTTTCCATCACGTGACCTTCATGAGTTACAACCTCAAGACAGAAGTCATAGGCTGTATGTTCTTAACCTAGACCCTGCTTTCAATTCACTAATGATGTTGCAGACTATAAGAACTGAATTGATTTTCTGCTTTTTACCATCACAAAAAACAAATGCACACCAAGGAAGGAGGTTCTTTCAATGCTGACATTTACAAAGAACTTTTACTGTCAGAACCTCACTAACCCTCACAAGTCTCTGCAGAAGAAATATTATAGGCGTGTGATAAGTGAGCAGACAGGAGCCAGAGAAGCATACTTGCCCGTCTCACACTAGGCAGCAGAAGAGAGCCAAGACAGCAGTGTTGACTCTGTCCTGGTGGCCAATGCTCCTCTCTGCTCCCTCCCTAAGACAACAGTGTAGTCAGGGATCCCTGCCCAAGAGCGGGGAGGAGAAGCATCATGAAGCAGCTTTGTTGATTTAGTTTGTCTTCATCAGCCACTTCCTCCAGGGACCAGGCATTGATTTAAGCTCATTTCTAGGTTAGGGAGGATCCATTTTCCTTCTTGATGGTGTCTCTGATGGTGGAGATGGTTTCATCTCTACAGTCACCTCCCACCAGGCATAGGGCTTCAGCTGAGTCAGTCACACCAACCTCTTCTCTCCTGGATTTAGGGAGCCCTTTCACTGATGCTGATCTGCAGCGTGCTGGAGCTTGGCCTGGCTGTGCTCAGCGCCACACTGTGGTGGAAACAGCGTCACTCTGACTTCCCTGGGGTGAGTGTGCTAGAGGCCTAACTCAGTCATGTCTGTGGTTTCTTTAGGAGGTGTGGTCTGTGCTGCCATGCTGTCATGAATGGCACATAGACTGAGATTAGTCACCGTGGCGTGAACATCAGGAGGTTTGGACTTGGAGGGAGGACAGTACATGAAGGCAGAGAAGGCAGTTGTGCAGCTGATGAGGACAGAGAACAGGTGAACCTGGCAATCACCTGGCTCTTTCCTTTTCTTCTGCAAACAAAGGAACTGAGGCTCTGGGGAGTTTATGTATCTCCTGGCATCATCCTGAATTTGCCTGTGTTTGTGGTTCTGGAGCCTGGCTGCCTCTCTCCTAACTAGAAATATTTTCTCCAGTAGTGACTAGTCTCTTTAACAGTCTGGACTTGATAAAGACCAGCCGCACACTGGAATGTATTCAGTCAGCATCCCAGGCTCTGCTCTCCTTCCTTCTGGTCTTAAAATGTTTTTCCTGCATCAAAGATATTAAGGAAATAATGTCTAGTAGCTGCATGTAACTTTTCTCAGCCAGCTCTCAGGGTGCGCGGCTTCAGTAGCTTCGCTCTAACAAGCTCCTCAATAGAGTGTAGAATGAAGATTAGGTGATATGATCAATATGTACATTAATAATTGTGTGATATTCTCATCTTGGAACATCTACAACATTGAATGAAATTCTATCATGGGTATACATGTGTCTATATAGCTATCTAGCTTATCTGCACACCATATGTGTGCTTACATATATATATATATGTATATATTCATTTGTAGTCTAAAACGATGTATTTTCTTTATTCTAGAATGTGATTTTTCTGTCTCGTAACTCAAAAAATGAATCCAACATGGAGACAAAGGCACTTTGTAACCCTACATATGAGGAACGAATGGTTTCTTAAAGAAAAAAAAAGGCAATATACAACAGGGAATACATCTTCATGCTAATGCAGGAAACCCAACCATCACAAGGTAGCAATGATTGTTTCTTAAAATCTAGGCTGTTTATACACTGGATAACAGTAATGAGTTGAATGCGTACAATAATACCCTATTGATTTTCGTGACCTTAGATTCAGCCAAAGCTCAGTCCCGCAAAGAGTGCCCAAAGGTTCCCAGATATTTCTCAGAAAGTTAACAGAATGTTTCAGGGGATTGTGGGGGAGCAAAGTGGCAATATTTTCTTGTCCCCTGCAATTAACAGCAATAGTTAACTGTTAACAGCTCCTATGTTCAGAATCCCTGTGATGGCATGGTTCTTTCATCATATCAATTTTTTTCATTAAAACAAAGGACCAGCAATGAAGTCTCAAGAAGTATACCTGTTGTTGGTTTCAAAATAAAGGCTTTGTGGTTATGTTTTATTTGTGTAAGAGTGTTTTCCTCGTGTGTTTGCTTTGCCTTTAAGCACAGATCAAGTCAAATCCCCCCGTGATATATAAACACACCAGTTTGATATTCCTTTGTGCTTTATCAACCAAAACCAAATCAAAACCCCAAAAAATAAAAACAGGGGAAAAATAACTGGGAATCTCAATTTCTCTCTCATGTATTTTGGATGTACCAGATAACACACTTATTTCTATGATTACCACCACCACAACAAAAAGACATTTCTTACTTCTTCCAGGAGGCCGGAGAGATGTTTCAGCAGTTAAGAGGACTGACTGGTCCTGTGAGAACATGAATTTCATCACCAGCACTCCCGTGGCAGCTCACAAATATGTGTCACTTTGGTTCCAGGCGATCTGACACCCTTTCTGGCCCTTCTGGGCACTAAACACACATGTAGGGAACACATCCACATATATCCAGACAAAATGGCCAGTCAGCATAAAACATGTTTTTACAGAAATTTATAGGGAGGGGGCTACAGTGGGGATACAAAGTGAATAAATTGTAATACATAAATAAAGACATAAATAAATAAATATTTGGAAGAAAAAGAAAATATTTTATAAATAACAATATATAAAGCATGGTTTAAAATATGATGAGATGAATATTTATACTCATTATTTTATAACTTAAATATTCGAGTCTTTAAAGTTTGATGTGCTCTCTTTACAATAGCCTGCCCTTGGGGATTACAGGGCATGCCAGTGGGGTGTGAGATGTTGAAACCCAAAGACCACCTTTTAAAAGCCTTTTAAAAGCCTTGTCTGTTTCTTTTTAAGCCCTTGGCATTCCCAAACTTGTAAAACAAATATTCTACCACATCCTTGAAAGCTTCTCCAGACCTAGCAGAAGCACAAACGACATGAGAATAAGTATGAATGGCAGGGGATGAAGTCGCATGGGGAGAGCGCACACTGGGGCTGAACACACTGAGCAGTTCCACAGGAGCACAAGAGCAGCTTTGAGGGGAAGAGGAAACTGAAAACAGAGCTCAGCAGGAGTTTGGTGATGTAATGCATGGCTCTGCTGAGCTGCCTGCAGAGAGAAGGCAACAGCCCTTGTCAAGGAATCAAGTTAACTCTCTTCTTCATGCACAGGACCAGGAGGCATAGAAAGAGCTGGAGCAGGTCCCACAGAGAAAGGGTGACTGCTAGACTGAAGCCAGGCTTGCAGCTCTGAGGACTAGGCAAGTAGAGTGGAATGAGCAGAAAGAAGTTGTGCAGTTTTAGTATGAAGAAAAACCCTGATTACATATTGTGAGTTAGTATGCAGATTAAAAGGCTTACTGTTCAGTCTCTTGAAGACAGTAATTACTGCCATCAGCTCCACCCACTGTTTGGAGGTTTCTTGCATGGGGAAAGAGTCTTAATGACCATCAAAGCTTAAAGCAGTCTGAGACAGAGCCAACTAGCGTGTATAGTTAGTATACAACTTCCTATAGTATAGTGTAGAAAGTGTAGCAGGAGGCATGACTTTATCTCCATTCTCGGTGTACCAGTTTTTTATTTTAATTTTATTTTTATTAATTACAATTTATTCACTTTATCCTAGCTGTAGCTCCCTCCCTTATCTTTTCCCAATCCCACCCTCCCTCCCTCTTCTTCTGCTATGCCCCTCCCCCAGTCCAATAATAGGGGAGGTCCTCCTCCCCTTCCATCTGACCCTAGCCTATCAGGTCTCATCAGGACTGGCTTCTTTGTCTTCCCTTGTGAACTAGTAAGGCTGCTCCCCCCTCAGGTGGAGGTGATTAAAGAGCCAGCCCATGAGTTTATGTCAGAGATGGTCTCTGTTCCTATTATGGGGAACCCTCTTGGACACTGAGCTGCCATGGGCTACTTCTGTGCAGGGGTTCTAAGTTATCTCCATGCATCATCCTTGTTTGTAGTATAAGTCTCAGAAAAGACCCCTATGCACAGATTTTTTGGTTGTGTTGCTCTCCTTGTGGAGCTCCTGTCCTCTCCAGGTCTTTCTGTCTTCCCCTTCTTTCATAAGATTCCCTGCACTCTGCCCGAAGTTTGGCTATGAATCTCAGAATGTTTTGATACCCTGCTGGGTAGGGTCTTTCAGAGGCCTCTGTGGTAGGCTCCTGTCCTGTTCTGTTTTCTCCCTCTTCCAATGTCTGTTTCATTTGCCTTTTTGAATGAAGATTGATCATCTTACCCAGGGTCCTCCTTCTATATTAGCTTCCTTAGGTGTATGGATTTTAGTATAATTATCCTGTATTGCATGTCTAATATCCACTTACAAGTGAGTATATACGATGTGTCTTTCTGCTCCTGGGATAACTCACTCAGTGTTCTGCCTGCATGTATGCCTAAACGCCAGAAGAGGGCACCAGATTTCATTATAGATGGTTGTGAGCTATCACGTAGTTCGTGGGAATTGAACTCAGGACTTCTGGAAGAGCAAGCAGTGCTCTTAACCTCTGAGCCATCTCTCCAGCCCTGCTGTACTGGTTTTTAAAATATATTCCTATTGTATCCTATCTTTCTACATCTAAACTTCCCTAGTCTAGGAACCAGGAGCTGGCTGGCTGCACAAAGTGGAGAAAATCTGAAAGCTGACTAGTGTTAACCTTAATTCCTCTTTTGTAAGTACATGCTGGATGATCTCAATAACCATTTTTCTTGGATTCACTTTCTCCCATACTGAGGGAAATGGCAGCACACAATCACACAAGAATCAACTTAGATTACTCACTTGTCCTGACCAGGCACTTATTAATGTGGAGGCCTCCTGCACCCTACGTGTGAAATTTCTTTCCATGCCCTGAATAGGGAGCTTACTTTCCTCGGGTCCCTCTTCCAGGCACCAGAGTCAAAGACAAACTTTGGCATCGACAGGGTAAACTGAGGCAGAGCATGATGCTAGCATTGATCACTCACCAGACTTTTCTCTGAGAAAACAAACCTTGATTCTCTAGGGCCAGTGGAGAATTCTCTTCAGGGCCTGGCAAGAATCCCTGAGGCTATCGAGAAGGATTAGTGGGCTAGATAAACTCTCTGGGGCCAATGAGAAAAGGAGGGAAAGACTCATACACACACACACACACACACACACACACACACACACACACAAGCTCCAACCAACTTCACATATATACACACACATATACACTTTGGGATGATAGAGCAAAGCTCCAAAAATTTCACACACACACACACATACATTTGGTGGATGGTGAATGCAGCAATCCTCCAACAACTTTATTTTTTCTCCCACAGCTTCTGTATCCCAGCAAGATCTTCCAAGCAATAGAAAAATTACAATATAGCTACATTGTATTTTTCTTTAAGTGAATAATTACAATGAGCATAGACAGGAAAAAAAAAAACATGTCCCACAATACTCTCATATGCTCAAGAGCTTTACATATTATGGGTAAAAAGCAAATTGTTCTCGAGAATACACGTACATTCATGACTAATTAACATGCTATAGACTAACAAAGTGTAAGCTAAGTGTGAGGGTAGTTTTCTCAGCCGTTTTCTCTTACTGGCTGGCAGGTTGCAATTTGTGGTTACAAAGGAAGAATCAACTGTTTTATTATTTAACTTAAAAAGTAATCTTTTAAAAATCTAAAAATCTTAAAAGAATCACAAATATAAACTTTTCTATAAAAACAGTCCTTTCTGCTTTAACTCCTCAGAAGGCACATCCACCCATTGATGATGGCTGAGGTGGGAGGGGAGAAAGTGGCAGAATCAAAAGTCTCTGCCTCCAACACAGTGGGGGAAATCCTGTCACAGTCAACTGACTGGTCTGGAACCCACCTCGGTGAATCAGCCTCCTGTGGAAACACAAGGAAAGCTTCTCCCCGAATAAGCCATCTGGTCCTTTCCATTTCCTGGTTAGTAAGTCTTTTTTATTTTACTTGAGGTTTAGGAATTAATTTTGTTTTAAAATGTGTTTTAGAGACATACTTTTTCTGTAACATATTATGATTAATAACATGTAAGGCATGGTTTAAAAAATGGTGGTGGGGCGAATATTCGTGATTTTGGTTTTCTAAGTTAAATATTTGAGTATTTAAAGTTTGATGTGCTCTCTAAAATAGCCTGTCCTTAGGGATTACAGAGAATGCCATTGGAGTGTGCAATGTTGAAAGCCAAACACCATTTTTTAAAGCCTTAGAGGTATAACCAGGAGCATTGTCTGTTTTTTAAAGTTTGGCATTCCCAGACTTGTAAAACAAAGGTTGTGCCACATCTTTGAAAGCTTCTCCAGATCTAGCAGAAACACGAATGACATGAGATCTAGCAGAAGCACAGGGCTCCGGCCCTTGGGAGCACGCACTGGGTTGGGTCACACTGAGCAGGATTGCATAAGCAGCTTTCAGGGGAAGAGGAAACTGAAAGCAGGTTGCAGCCTGCCATCCCTCATAGTCTCTGACCTCAAAAAGAATCTCTCCCTCAGTTATCAAGAGTGTGCCTCTCTGAACTTCAAATTGTTCTCCAGGATTTTCTAAGTCAAAGCTACTAACAAAAACACTTTAACCTAATTTTATTAACATCTCCAAATTCCTTCTTTTTTTTTTTTTTTCTATTTTGGCTTTATCGGTTTTTGTTTTTTGTTTCTTTGTCTTCTTGCTTGCTTTTGAAACAGTGTTTCTCTGTGCAACAGCCCTGTCTTTCCCAGACTCACTTTGTAAACCAGGCTGGCCTTGAACTCAAGAGATCCTCCTGACTCTGCCTCCTGAGTGTTAGGAGTAAAGGGGTTTACTACCACACCCGGCTTCGGTTTTCTTTCTAAGACTAGTGGTTGGATAATTAATCTGATTCATGAGTATAACTGGAAAAGCTCAATCACTAATATTGTAAATGCTAATGACACTGCTCAGTGAGGGGCTGGAAGCCACTTAGAGTTTTCATACAACCCATCAATTATGAAGGAATGTGATGACTTCAAGGGTCACAAAACAGCAGGAAGTCTTCAGAACACATCATCCTCACGATGCCGCCTCTCCAAGGTACAGCCATCTTGGTTGTGCTAACAGATGGGCCACACTGCACCTGTTCTAAAGCTGCTTTGGTTGTTCCCTGGCACACCCCAAACACTGTTTCTCGGTTTTTGTTTTCTGTTTTGTTTGTTTGTTTTGCATAGTTTAAGAAGAATTGGCTGTAGCTCTTCTTTGACAGTGTCATATAATTACGCTGTGAATTCATCTCCTCCTGGATTTTTTTTTTTGTTTAGTTTTGTTTTGTTTTTGTTTTTGTTTTTAAGCTACAGGCTTTTTATTACAATTTTAATCCACTTGCATAGATGCTATATTTTGTGCGCTGGAGAAATAAAATATTGTTCACACCACAGTCGGATTTTCTGGATTGAGATGTCATGGTGTTCTGTCTCTCAGAGAAATGACAGTCTTCCTCCTAGGACTGTGCTAATTCAGCATTTCACATCCTAATGTTTGAATTCTTAACGCAGGGAAGGCTTGTCATGAGTCCTGGAGAGTATGTGGTGTGTGACACCTTGTGAACTAGAGATAGCCTTGACTGAACCAAAGAGTTGCTCCTTCAAGGACTTGTTCTGACATAGCTTTTACTTCTGAAAAGCTGGAATTTGGCTGATATATGTGACCCTACTCTCTAGACCAGACTACAAGGGCTTCCTGCCTTGCTGCCACCAGAATAGTCTCATGGGCTCTCGGTTAGAGAGTACTCTGCTTCCCCAGTGTGTGGAGACATTTCTGAACCCCTCCCTGCCTCTAGGCCCAGCTAACACAAGCTCCAGGGTGATTGCTGAGTGGCGTTTCAACAACTGGGTCTCCAGCTGACTCCACGCCCTGTGAGGTCCAGAACCTAAATTACAATTTCATCCATCTCTCTGTGGATCCTGCCTCTGCTTCCATAGGCATGCTGGAATCTGATATTTCAGCCAATGTCAGAGTTATAGCACTACTCTTCCCCCAAACAACTGGGCACCTGGCATCCTCCAGAGTCTCATACTGTGTGTGCAGACCAGACTGTATCACCCTGGAGAAAGAACAGAATCTAAATTCCAGATAAGAATAGCTTGATGGATTCCAGACCCAGGACCTGGTTCCCTGGCTCTGAAGCTGCTCTGGAAACCTGTACTTTAAAAGGCTCTCCTGTCTGGTCTCCACAGTGTAGGAAAAACAAGAACAATAACATCACAAAACATATCGAGTACCTAGTTATCTCTGATGCCCCACTCCCATCAGTACCTCCTAGAGCACAGAGCACTAAGACAGCTTCACTTTCTGCTCACACTATCGTGGCTGAAGAAGCTGTACCGGATCCTGCGATTCTGCATCATTGCCAGCAAAGCCGCTGCATTCTGCCCAGCCCGCCTTGCTGCCTCTGAACATCTTTCAGTATTAGAATCACGCATGCGGTGACTTCTTGATTAGACGGGCAGGTTTTCCTCCACTTGGATGTCTTTTGCTCCCTAGTCAGGTCTCCTTTCAGATGCTCCATCACCATCAGGCTCCCGTGAGCTCTCAGGAAGCTCTGCTTTACCACGCAGAGAACACATTCACCACCATTCTAATGACATGCTATTTGTTAGTTGTCTAAATTCCCCTGGAGCTTATTAAACACCTTGGGGAGGAGAGTTTGTGGATCATTTTTAATCATTTTATCTGTGGCCTGTAGTATTAGTCATCCATGATAAACTTCACCTAAGAAATGTCGATTAAACCATACAGATGAAGTTTGATCCCCAAGGGTTCATGCGATAGAGGCTTTGATTCCAGTATAAAAATGGTGAGGTAACAGTACCTCTGAGACAGCACATCTCAACTTGTGGGCTATGACCCCTTTAAGGTTTGAATGACCTTTTCACAGGGTTTGCCTAAGACTATCTGAAAACACAGCTATTTACATTAAAAGTCATAACTAGCAAAATTACAGTTCTGACACAGCAATGGAAATAATATTATGGTTGTGGGTCAGCACAACATGAGGAACTGTATCAAAGGGCCACAACATTAGGAAGGCTGAGAACCACTGCTCAAGAGCGAGCCTGCAGGCAGGGCAGCCCGGTCACTGGAAGCCTTGCCTTAGAAGAGATGAAGGTAGTGTTATCCAACCCTGGTTAGTTCTTATGAGGACGCATTGTGATATCAAGGGAACCTTGGGCCTTGCTCACTCTCTCTACTTGCCATGCAGTAGTAACCTCTCTCGTTTCCAGCATTAGACCTTTTACATTGTGACTCAGCCGAATAACCTTCACGAGAGTGGTCAATGCTTTCATGGTGAGTCTCCAAGAGTGGAGTTTCATGCACACTTAACGCACTTAAACTCTCTATACACAAGTTCTCTAGAAAAAAGAACACTTAACAGCAATGTGTGAATTTTTGCAAACAGATTTTGAAAGGTCATGTAAATGACATTAGTCTGAGTATGTTGTCTTTAAAATTATATAGTTATAATATTTTGGTATGTCTGCCTTGTTTGGTTTTAATTTTGCTTTTTATTAATAAATAATATACAAAATAATGGGTCATACAACATATTTGCATATCATAATATTTTGTTTATATTCCCTTGACAGAGTTTTACAAAATGTAAATCTTCAAACTTAACACCATAATAAACAATATTATTTTCTTGTGAAAAAAAAAAAAAAAACGCTGTTAGTGGGAGCAACCTCTTTTGAGTATATTTCACAATGAATAAAACTTCAGCTGAGAAATCGAAAGTTAGTTAACAGTTTTTATAGAAAAATAGGAAGTAGCTGTGTTTTTTCAGAAGTTGATACCACAGCCTTTATAATCTACGAGATGCTAGAAGAAACATGCAAATTTAAGCCGAGTGAGGTGCTGGGTGTGGGGTGGTCTCTAGCACTGAACAAACACTCTGAGGTGCCTTCCCAGAGCCTGGCCCTCCGCAGACACAGAGAGCAGCACTGCAACCTGGAAGGAGGTAGGTGCAGGGATTTGCCTCCCCAGCCTTTCAGCATGATGGCTTTAAATTTAGTGGGTGAATATGGGACATCTAGATGAAAATATGAGAACAAGGAGATCACCTTTCACTACACAAACTAGAGTTCTGAATTGGGGTAGAGTGCATTTAAGTGCACCTGAGGAGGCAGATTTTTTTTTTTAGATTTTTTTTATTTTTTTTATTAATTACACTTTATTCATTTTGTATCCCCCCATAAGCCCCTCCCTCCTCCCCTCTCGATCCCACCCTCCCTCCCCTTTCTGCATGCATGCCACTCCCCAAGTCCACTGATAGGGGAGGTTCTCCTCTTCTTTCTGATCTTAGTCTATCAGTTCTCATCAAAAGTGGCTGCATTGTCCTCTACTGTGGCCTGGTAAGGCTGCTCCCCCCTCAGGGGGAAGTGATCAACGAGCAGGCCAATCAGATTATGTCAGAGGCAGTCCCTCTTTCCATTACTATGTAACCCACTTGGACACTGAACTACCATGGGCTACATCTGTGCAGGGGTTCCAGGTCATCTCCACGAATAGTCCTTGGTTGGAGTATGATTTTCTGGGAAGTTCCCTGTGTTCAAATTATCTTGTTCTGTTGCTCTGCTTGTGGAGTTCCCGTCCCCTCCAGCTCTTACTATTTCCCACTTCTTACATAGAATTCCATTCACTCTGCCTGGCAGTTGGCCATAAGGCTCAGCATCTGCTTTGACAGTCTATACTGCAGAAGCTTTCAGAGGCCCTCTGTGGCAGGTTTCAAGGTTGTTTCCTGTTTTCTTCTGGCTTTCAGAGGCCCTCTGTAGCAGGTTCCGAGGTTGTTTCCTATTTTCTTTTTCTTCTGATGTCCATCCTCTTTGCCTTTCAGGATGGGGATTGAACATTTTAGCTAGGGTCCTCTCTTTTGCTTAGTTTGTTTAGATGTACAGATTTTAGTGGGTTTATTCTATGTTGTATGTTTATATGAGTGAGTATATACCATGCGTGTCTTTTTGCTTCTGGGACAACTCACTCAGGATGATCCTTTCCAGGTCCCACCATTTACCTGCAAATTTCATGATTTCCTTATTTTTCATTGCTGAGTAATACTCCATTGTATAGATGTACCACAGTTTCTGCATCCATTCTTCAGTTGAGGGGCATCTGGGTTGTTTCCAGCTTCTGGCTATTACAAATAAAGCTGCTACAAACATGGTTGAGCAAATGTCCTTTTTGTGTACTTGCGCCGAGGAGGCAGATTTTGATGCAAAGAATAAGGACAAGGAAAAGATAAAGGCTTGGTAAAGTGACACTAATATCTTCTCCTCCAGGGTCTATGACCTCATCAGCCACAGGCAGGTGGTTAGGGGTACAGTACCAGACATGAATTTCCTATTGCATATTCTTTAAGGCCGTTTAGACAGCTCTTGACTGCCTCCAAGATGTAAATGTTGCTCCTGTGTTCTTGAGGATAGCTTGTCATGTTCACTCTTAGATTTAAAAAAAAAAAAGTATAGGCAATTATTGTCTACTAAAGAGGAAGAATCAGTCTTCTCCAGCAACAAGCTTTCTGATGATTTTCCAATCCTAAGTGCTCATCTTAAACACGTATACCTGAAAGCAATATTTAAATTATTGACCGATCATTTCACACACATTCTTAATAAACCTCTTTTGTGGTATTAATCTGTCTCCTACATATTATTTCAACAATCCACCAGTTAAGACAATCTCTGCTCCATGCATATTTGGTGGAGATGGATAGGACGGCGGCTGAGCACACAGCCTAACAGGCTTAGTCTGCTCCTGAGATGGACTTTGACCTGGACTAGGTCCCAAAGCATTGTTGGCTTTACTGGGAGACACACAGGCCAGGAGCTGAAGCTGCTGATGCAGATGTTTATCAGTGGAAGATACTGGGAGGTTTCTTAGCAGTGTGAAGGTCAGAAAGAAGCTTGGAAGCAGATGCGCCTAATGCACTCTTTCACAGACGAAGTCACAGTAGTCCAGAGAACGTTAATAATCAGAAATTCACACCTCAATGAAAGGACCAGGAGAACACTCCAGATTATTGGAGCTTTTATGTGTACAGGTGTTTTGTCTGCATGTATGTCTGCATGTATGTGCCACACACATGCCTGCTGCCCAAAGGGACCAGAGAACGTGTTGGATACCCAACAATTAGAGTTACAGATGGTTGTGAGCTGTTAAGTCCTTGCTAGGATTACTTTGAGGATTAAAAGTTGTTCCTCTAATAAGAGAAGTAGGGACTCACTTGCCAGCTTTTTGATCACTTTCCCCTGGCAGGACAGCCTTACAGGCCACAGGGGAAGAGAACATGCTCAGGCTTGATCCAACTTGATAAGCTGAGGTGCCTGGGAAAGGGAGCTCTCCTTTTTAAGGAAGAGGCTAGGGTTGAAGGGGAGAGAAGGAGGTTGGGACTGGGAGGGGAGAGGGGATGGGGCTACAACCAGGATGTAAAGTGAATAAAATAAACTAATTAAAAAAAAGAAAAAATACTACAAGGTCATGTCTACAAAAATATGACAAAATATGAAATACTAATTCTAAAATGGTGCTGTTAGACACACAAAATATACAAATTGTGTTAAGTATTTTGAGTGATATGTAGCACAAACTGGAAAGCGTTGAAGGTTGAATTTCAGTAACTCCTGACTAGCAGAGTAACAGGAAGGTGGAAGTCACAGAATAAAAAGAAAAGAAAAGAAAAAAAAGCAAAGAAAAGAAAAAAAGCTCTTGAATGCTTTGAATTGAGGAAAGAGCCGGAGCTACATTTTGCAAATTTTGTGTGAACATTTGGGTATGGACATAGCAATGTCTGGGGATCCAGGCTGTCTCTTCCTATGATGTGTTTATTATCTAAAATCAGTGGGTGTGTTTAACATTATGGGGAAAGTGCCCTGAATCCAAGGCAGGGCAGGTTTTCATTTCTCTGTATCACTGTCTTCTTATGCCAGAAGACAGGTCAAGAATTCACAAACTTGTGCAGTTTGGGGGTTAGGGGCAGAACCTGGAGACATGGTTTGTTTTGTTTCTTTCTTTATCATTGAAAATGCATACAATATATTCCAATTATGGATTCCCTTCCCCCATCACCTCCTAGATCCTCCCTAGCCAACCAACTTCAAACCTTCTTTCTCTGTCTCTCTCTTTAGAAAAACAATAGGCAAATAAAAAATAGAAGAAAAAAACAAACAAACAAAAAAAACAGAACATCCAACCCCACCAAAACATAATCATGAAACAAACCAACCAACCACTACAGTGAGCAGAGTTCTTTTTAAGAACTGAGTCCATTTTCTCTTCCAACTGTAGGAGCTCCATCATGATTCCACAAGTAGTGACCAATGAGGCTGCCATGGTCAACCATTCCCAAACAGGCCATCCACAACCTACCCACCAGACGGAAGGCAGCCTGAAGAAACGCCTAAAGGCAGAGGTCAAAGTGTTGGCGGTAAATCCTACTCAGACCACCCTGGGGTCAGGGGAGGGCAGAGGGAGGAGACCAGAACTAGAGATAGATTTGAACTGTGGGAAGCCTTCAGATTTGACACGGTGATCATGGAATACTCTGTAGACCTGTGGAAGCCCCTTGGTAACCTGCTTTCAGCTCTAAAATTTTACACAAATTGGCGAGAATTTGCCCTTAATCTGACATACTTAGAGTGTACTCCGTGACTATATTCCATGAGACATTGAGATTTTGTTGTTTAACTCATTTCCTGGACTTACTAAAGGGACTTTGTTTTGGGTAAAGAAGGGAGCTAAGAAAGAATACACATTTCATTCTGAGAGGAAAGATGGAGCTGTTTTTCAGTGTTGCCTGTACTAACACTATCTGCCTGGGTCTCCTTATCCAGTTTCAGAACTTAATGGAACTTGGGCAAAAAAAAATCTTCTAGATTCCTTAGAATTGCATGTAACAAATAGTTTACAAAATTGCTTAATCCAAATTACAAGAGCTGTGAGTCTGTGAGGTGAAGGAGGATGTCAGGAAGACAAAATTTCCCTTTCAATATGGAGGCAGGGATCAACAGAATGGACACCTTGGCTGAAGGTGCTGTGGAGCTGGCCCGAGAGGCTGCGTCTATGTGGTGTTCTGTGGGCTCTGGGAGATGGGAGCAGCAGACTCACTAAGCATGGACTCATAGCTCAGCCCTGGCCAGAAGCTGCTGGGAAGATTTCTTGAGCATCCCAGGGCTTCAGAGACAGAAGTACCTAAGATGGGCTGCAGCTGTGGCAGAACCACACCCCCTCCAGAATGAACTTTCCTCTCTCACCCCAGAGCTTTTACAATGTCTGTGGGGCTGGCTCACTGGGACATTATAGAAGGAGACAATGCATGAGCCCGATGGGAGGAGTGGAGAGGTTCCACTTGCCACTGCTGGTTTAATCTTCAGTCTCTCTTCTTTCAACAGGCCATCCAGATCATGTGTGGTGTGGTGGTGTTGAGTCTGGGCATCATTTTGGCATGTTTTCCCCCTGCCCAACATTTGACCTCAGTGTTTTCTGTCCTGTTAAAATCTGGCTACCCGTTTGTAGGAGCTTTGTTTGTAAGTAGACTTCTGTGGGGAGTAAAGTGCGGAGGGCAGGGAAGGGAGCTGTCACCTGGCTGCGTTTCTGTGTACTGAGAACAAGAGGTTGCTGGTAGATCTTGTTTTTCTGTGTGCCATCCACAGAAAGTCTTAGTTTAGGCGGGCAGTGGGTATTTCATTCTAAAGATCTTTTCATCTATTTCAAATAAACATTTCTTGTGAACGTCACCTTTTTACCTCACCTAATGAGTTGTGGTGAGTTTAGTGGCCTCTTGGGTTTAGGGGAAAGTACAGGAATGGGATCCACATGATCTAGAGCTTTCTGTAAAGTGCAGTGACACCCAGAGATACACCTGCAGGAAGGAACACTCATTTTTAGGCTTTGGCTCTGTTGGAGGCATTCAGGGTGATAGACTGGACATTCCTCTGAGACTCTCATGTCTGAAGTGAGGGGGTCATCATGGTTCTTCTCTCAGAGGACACCTCTCCTCCACTACGATAGAGCTGATGAATCTCGCTCACAAGTGAGGTTTCCTGTCACTGTGGCTTCCCATCTGCTCACTGCAGCCCAGTAGCAGTTTTTTTTTTTTCCTTTCCTGTATTACTTCCTTCGATGCACCCGCAGCTCTGCCTTTCCTTCTGTTGTGTCTGTGGTTTCAGCTTCACAGCCATCTCAGGCCAATCAGTGTCTGGTTTCAACAATTTTCCGTGAATGTCCACTGTTTCCATTCAAAGACACAGCATTTCACAGTTGCTCTATCTCCAGAACTAGACTTCCTGATTTGGACCTTTACAGACTTTCCTTGCCATTAGAGATTTTGACAGATTCTGGGTTGTGCTGGGCTGGATTTTTGTGAAATCTTTCTAAATTTAAGTTTGACTGGTTAATCTGTAATTGAGCACAGAGTGGGGGCTGTTGAAATGACAATGACAGCAGTGACCTGGCCATACTGCCAGGTCCCCATGAAGGGTCCCATCATTTCACCTACATCCTTTCACTGTTGACTTAGCGCTGATCATGGGGCTGATGTGGTGATTTCTAGGCCAGTGCTGCTACTCTCTTCTTCTCTCCTCACCGTACTGTGCTCTTTACACTATGTACCCCTTGCATTAGAAGAGGCACTCAGTTCCTTTTAGTTTTATGAAGACTCTACATGTGAACCTTCGGGGTTAGCTTAGCAGTAGAACACATACACAGAAAGTACAGACCCCTAGTTCCATCCATAGCACCACAGAGACAAAAACTCAGTGTGTAGTTATATGGATTTATATTTATATGGAGAGTCTCTTTAACTTTGGAGAATAGAAATCACAAATTTTCTAACTTTTTAAAAAACTTCTAAAGATTGCTTACTACTGGTTTCCTTTAATTTATTGGATGAGAGATTTTTTTTTTCTGAATCATATTGAAGATTTCTCACAGTGAAACTCTGCTTCCTTTTGTTCTCATGTATGTTCATCTCTAGGACCAGTTACTGAAAGCCCCTTTGTTTTCATCTGATCTGTGTTTGTTAATATCTTCCCTTATTTCTTTTAAAAAAAACTAGTATAAATAACTCTCAAACTATTACCAAAATCTGAAAGAAAGAAGTATGTTTCCAAATCCATTTTAGGATACCAGCATTATCTTGATGCCAAGATCATGGTATAATGCCAGCCAAGAGAATGACAAGAAAAGGACAGTACAGGTCAACATTTTAAAGGATATAACTGCAAAACTCCTCACTAAAATACTACCACATTGAAAACTGCAAATTAAAAAGTTATTTATAAATGTTCAAGTGAGTTTTATTGAAGACCTCTGCCTGGTTTGTATATGCAAATCAGAGTGCCATAACTCTATTGAAAGGAAGGACAAACAACCCATAGCTATTTTCCATTCTCTCCTCTTGTAGACCAAAAATCATCATGTAGTCTCTAAAAATCATCTAATTCCAAATTTTCCTTTTGAATTAACAAAATGTTTTTGCTACCTTGTAAAGTATTTATGGATTTTAATGGATAGATTTTTGTTCTAATCTACCTTTACTTGTGGTTTCTAAACAGAGCACATGGGTTAAGAGACACCTCTATGAACCTAAGAATATGTATCATTGCTTATTCATTCCCTGAGTGTTTGTCATAAACTATGGTCACTTTGTACATAGAAATTGACCTAACAATGCCTTCCTCTTGTCCGAGTAGTTTATCATCTGTGGAATTCTGTCCATCATCACCGAGACAAAGTCAACAAAGGAGTTGGTGAGTACAAGAGCCATAACCCAGAACTGATGAGAATGAGACCCAGAGAGGGCAAGTCAAGGCCAGGCTCTCCAGGTTGAAAGTTACAAGCTCCGTCTACAGTGATTACTTCTCCTATGTTTGTGAGTTGATCCTGGGTTCTCCGTATCTCTGTAGAGCACCTTCTTCCTCTCACGGTAACCAAAATAATAGTGTGTCTGATGCCTCAGAACAGTGCTAAGGACTCTCATGTAAAAAAAAAAAATGCTGCTTTCTTATGATGCCAATGCATAGGCAACAGTTTATGATGATTAATCTTGATCATCAACTTGACTGGATTGAGAAGCACCTACCTGACTAATAAAGCATACCTTTGGAGCTGTTCTATTTCCAAAATGATTTGGCTCCATTTCCTAAGATAAGGACCCAGGTGGAATAAAAAGGAGAAAATGAAATGTGCCTAGCAACAGATATCCTCCCAATAGGTTTCCTGACCACCATGTTGTGAGCTGTTCTGCTCTGCCACACATGTCCCTAAATGGTTGGCTGAGCCTCTGAAACTGAGCAAATATATATTTGCTTTCCCACTTTCAACATTTTCCAGAAGAAAACTAAAGTTATGGGGAGAAGAAAGCCAGACTATAGGAAGAAGCTTTTGAGAGCTGTAAAGATTCTCCATCAGTCAACTCACATCCCTCAAGGTGTTGATTCATGGGAGAGAATGCCATGTAATGCAAGAGTTTAGGAATTTGGTTAGTAAGAGCTGACTGAGCCAGTCCCCCAAATACACAGAGTATTAATTATTTTTCTGTTGCTATGGTACAATAGCATGACTAAAAGCAACTGAGAATATACGTACTCTCTAAGTACCATAAGGCTCATGAAAGATGCTTACCCTATGCTGAAGAAGGTTCTCTTCATACAATGAATGGAGACTAAAGAAGAATGCCAGCTAGAGTAAACCTAGTTTATTCTATCAGCATCCTGATTGCAACTGTTGTTCAAGGCGTCCAAGAATTTGATTTCAGTCACTGTTTGTGGAAAGTGGCATCCAAAAGCTCCAAGCTCTGAGTGAGTTATACAGTCTGTCTAAAATACAAGTGGCCTGAAATTAAATCATGTTCCAGTGCAATACAGCTGGGTGCACCCAGGAAATGCCTACCTATCACCATAATTCTCAGGGAGGTCTTAGCTCAATTTTCGTTTTCTATAAGTTGAAGAAAGAAATCCACTGTTGAGAAAAGTTTATTTTGTTTACGCCACAAGTGTTGTAGAGATAAGATCCCAAGTGAACACTGGAACTGAGTAATCAAAAACAATAAGAGGCCAAGGGCCTCTGGCACTGAGGCTTCAAGTTACCAGCCCCTGTTGGTAACTTGTTTGGCAACTTTTGGTAACTGTTGGTAACTCTGTTTCTTTCTGCCTCACCCAGTTTCCCTAAATGACATCTTCAGTCACATGTCCAGGTTTATGTCTGCTGCCATCTCCACTTGGCCTTACTTAGAGTCCATCATAAGGCTTTACAGGCTTCAAAGCCTACCTATCACTGAGCACCCTCGGTGTATGAGCTTCTGAAAGAGGTAGTGTGTAAGGAATGAAGTGCTTCACCTGCCTTTTGGGTGTGGCTGATGTATTCATGTGCTGGGGCTGGGAAGGATGTGTTTGTTATTCTGAATACATTAGCCAGTATCAGGTGTGTACAAGTTCAAGTCTTGAGATAACCTCAACTCAAAAAGAGCAATAGGTTAGTTGGGCCCATGTTTGGAGGCTTAGTTCTGGTGGCTGTATTTGTTCTGAACTTGTAGACGGACAGTGAGTGTCTCATGTTACTAGAGCAAAAACATGTGCCACATGGCAGCAACAAAGAAAAATGACTAAGATGAAGGTCTCATGTTGTGATCTGTTCCCTTCATGGGCTCCTTCCTCTCTAAGGGCCAACCTTCAATCGGGAGGTACTTCCTATAGGTTCTGAAAGCTCATGGTATCATCTACCTGGGGATTTACATCTTTGGTACATGAGTCTCAGGCCACATCCAACCCAAACTACAGAACTGAGAATGTTGAGGGACAGAGAGCAGAGCTGGTGTCTGTTTCTCCTCCTTTGCTCCGATGTCCTGAAAACGTTCTAGTTTTAAATTATAGGGTTTCATCAAATGTCAAAAAGTGAAGATTTTGCCAGGGAAGTATGTTCTTTCTCACCATTGAATATTGTTTATCCATCCAATTGCCACTTAGGTTTTGGGTCTGTGAGTTCTTAGACATTCTTTGGGCCCAATACATGTGGTGATGTTTGGGTGATGTTTGGGTGATATTTGATCTAGCAGATATCATCTGGGTGAAAGGAGCACGGGAAAAATAGGGATGAAAAACTAAGGACTCCGCTCTTTCTGGTGGTCACAATTATGAGTTAGGGAGAACAGAGAAATAAATTACTAATCTTTTGTCTGCTGATGAAGACAAATAAAGAGAATTTGTGCAACATTTTGGAAAAGAGTTATAAGTGATGCCTGATGCTGATTTCAGGTAGATGCCAGCCTGATTATGAACATCCTGAGTGCCTCATTTGCGTTCATCGGCATTATTATCCTCATTGTCAACCTGGCTGCTTTGCATCCTGCCTCAGACCAGTGCAACCCAACCAATGAGTTTATATCGCTTTTTCTCATCCCATACCACCACAGATGCTCCCCCGTCAAGGTTGTCCTGACTGTAAGTGTTTCTAAAAGCTGCATCCAACATTTTTAGTTTTGGGAAAATAGTGATCTTTTTTCAACCTTTTGAAAACCTCAAACTCTGTCTGGTTTGAGATCTGAGGGAAAGGTCAAGGCTGAATAAAGCAATGTTAAACAATGTTAATGCTTTTAACCACAAATCATTTTTAACCCCAGCATGATTCTGAGTGAAAAGCATTAACACACTTTCCAGAGTGCTGACTATATAGACAGGACAAAGATGTTTTTAGCACATTAGAAGCACTTTTAAAGTCTATGCCTAGAAGACAACAAAAAGATATTTAAAATTTTCATCTTGTGACTATTATAATATTAGCAATATTTTACCAGAGCTAGATTAATAGGTTACCAGAATTCCATTGGTTGTTTAAATTATTGATGTAGTATAACAATAGCATAGTGAGGGAAAGAAAGATATATTTTTTAAAAATACCTTAAATCACTTTCTTAGACTCTACAACTTTTATTTCCACACCTTAATACACTTTCTTAGACCTTGATAACATGCAGGGTGAGCAGCTGCACACTCCTTTAATCCTGGAAGAGAGAGCATATGATATAGCTTTGGGCTACCAATCATCTTCCTCCACACCAACTCTGAGCCTGCCATTGGTTGTTGGTCTCTGGGTGGACTCTCCAACGTGGGAGGCCTTGTACATTCTGCCTGCAAACTACTTCCATACTCACATCAGGGGAAGCTGCTCCAGGCCACAAGCCCTAATTGTCCTTTGCCAGGAATGCCCACAAGTAAAAATTCATTTTCCTTCTCGATGGTGTATTTGATGGTGGAGATGGCTTCATCTCTGCAGTCACGTCCCACCAGGCATAGGGCTTCATTCACACCAACCTCTTCTCTCCTGGACTTAGGGAGCCCTTTCACTGATGCTGATCTTCAGTGTGCTGGAGTTTGGCCTGGCTGTGCTCAGTGCCATGCTGTGGTGGAAACAGCATCACTCTGACTTCGTTCAGGTGAGTGTGCTAGCAGCCTCCTTCAGTCTTGTCTGGTCCTTCTTTCTGACGTGTTGAACTGTACTGTCATGAATGGCACATAGATTGAGATTAGTCACCGTGGCGTGAACACCAGGAGGTTTGGACTTGGAGGGAGGACAGTACACAAAGGCAGAGAAGGCAGTTGTGCAGCTGATGAGGACAGAGAACAGGTGAACCTGGCAATCACCTGGCTCTTTCCTTTTCTTCTGCAAACAAAGGAACTGAGGCTCTGGGGAGTTTATGTATCTCCTGGCATCATCCTGAATTTGCCTGTGTTTGTGGTTCTGGAGCCTGGCTGCCTCTCTCCTAACTAGAAATATTTTCTCTAGTAGTGACTAGTCCCTTTAACAGTCTGGACTTGATAAAGACCAGCCGCACACTGGAATGTATTCAGTCAGCATCCCAGGCTCTGCTCTCCTTCCTTCTGGTCTTAACATGTTTTTTCCTGCATCAAAGATATTAAGGAAATAATGTTTAGTAGCTGCATGTAACTTTTCTCAGCCAGCTCTCAGAGTGTGTGGCTTCAGTAGCTTCGCTCTAACAAGCTCCTCAACAGAGTGTAGAATGAAGAGTAGATGATACGATCAATATGTACATTAATAATTGTGTGATATTCTCATCTTGAAATATACATAACACTGAACGAATTTTATTATGGATATACATGTGTCTATGTATCTGTCTACCTTATGTACACACACATATGTGTGCTTATATATATGCATACATATTCATTTGTAGTCTAAAACAATGCATTTTCTTTATTCTAGAATGTGCTTTTCCTGTTTCATAACTAAAATTATGAATCCAACATGGAGTAAAAGGAACTTTGTAACCCTACATATGAGGAACGATTGATTTCTTATGAAAAAAAAGGGGGGGGGAATATACAACAAGAAATACATCTTCATGCTAATGCAGAAAACCCAACCATCACAAGGTAGCAATGATTGTTTCTTAAAATGTAGGCTGTTTATACATTGAATACCAGTAATGAGTTGAATGGCTTCAATAATACCCTACTGATTTTAACCTCAGCCAAAGCTCAGTCCTGCAAAGAGTGCCCAAAGGTTCCCAGATATTTCTCAGAAAGCCAACAGAATGTTTCAGGGGATTGTGGTGGAGAAAAGGGGCAACATATTCTTGTCCCCTGTAATTAACAGCAATAATTAAGTATTAACAGTCCCTGTGTCCAGAATCCCTGTGGTGGTACGGGTCTTTCATCATGTCAATTGTGCATAGAAACAAGTAGCCTGCAATGAAGTCTTAAGAAGTATACATGTTGCTGGTTTCAAAATAAAGCTTTTTTTGTGTGATTACATGTTTTATTTGTGTAATGGCTTTTTGTTGTTGCCATTGTTGTTTTACCTACAGGCATAGAAAAAGTCCCCAGAGAGACACAACATACCAGTTTGATATGCTAAAAACAAAACACAAAAACATGGAAAAGACAACTAGGAATCTCTCTCTCTCTCTCTCTCTCTCTCTCTCTCTCTCATTTTCTCACTTTCCCTCTCTCTTTCTCTGTGTGTGAGTGTGTGTTATGAATCTGAATGAACATTCAAAGTTTAGCAATATACTTTGGAGGTACCAGATAACTTACTTATTTCTAGGGTTACCAGAGCAAATAAGAGATGTTTCTTACTTCTTCTAGGAGGCTGGAGAGATGTTTCAGCAGTTTCAAGGACACTCAATGCAAAGACATGAGTTTAATTACCATCACTCACATGTGTAAACTGAGGCCCAGGTGATCTGACACCTTCGGGTCTTTCTGGGCACTATGTATACATGTAGGGCACACAAACATACACCCAGGCAAATACCCAGACAGCACAAAGCATATTTAAAAAGAAATTTATAGTGAAATACAAAAAGTAGAAAATGATAATAAAATTAGGATCACGTTGTATATGCCATTAAGGTCTATTTTGAGTTCATAAGAAAAAATACATACTCTCCTTTTTTTTTTCTCTCAGAACAAAGCTTGCAACCAGATTTGGGGGATACATAAAACAGCATTTAATTACACAATAACCTTATGCCTACAGATAAAGACCAGCTTTGCCATCCAGGGCAAACTGAGGAGGGGCTTAGAGTCAGTGATTGATCACTCAACAGAGTTTTCTCTGAGGGAACAAAGCTTGATTAGCTGGGGCCATCAAAATACTCCCTGTAGCCTTGAGGAGCCTTTGAGGGGCCAGTGAGAAAAGGAGAGAAAGAATCATACACACACACACACACAGACTTGGTGAATGAAACAAGCTTCAACAAGCTCCAATAATTTCACATATTACATGCAAACATACATACTTAATTACATACATACTCAAATACATACATATTTGGTGGATGGATCAAAGCTCCAACCAACTTCATACAAACATATGTATTTGATGGACCATATATTCAGGCACAAAGCAAGATTCAACAGATACCAGAAGATCAAAATAATCCCTTGTATCCTATCAGACCACTATGGCCTAAAACTAGACCTCAACAACAACAGAAAAAACAAAAATCCTACATACACATGGAAACTCAACAACTTTAACTCAATAGCAGCTTGGTCAAGGAAGAAATAAAAAAATAAATTAGAGACTTCCTAAAACTCAATGAAAATAAAGGCACAACTTACCCAAACTTATGGGACACAATGAAAGCAGTGCTAAGAGAAAAGTTCACTAAGTGTCTCCAGAAAGAAGTTTGAGACATCTCATACATGCAACTTAACAGCACACCTAAAAGTCCTAGGGAAAAAAAGAAGAAGAAGAAGAAGAAGCAGACACACCCAAGAGGAGTAGACAATTGGAAATAATCAAACTCAGAGCTGAAATCAATGAATTAATAACAAACAAACAACAACAACAAAAAAAAAACAATGCAAAGAATCAATGAAACCAAGAACTGGTTCTTTGAGAAAATCAACACAATAAACAAACCCTAAGCCAAACTAACTACAAGGCTGAGAGAAACTATCCAAATCAGCAAAATCAGAAATGAAAGGGGGAATATAACGACAGACACTGAGGAAATCCAAACAATCATTAGGTCTTACTACAAAAGCTTATATGCCACAAAATTTGAAAGTCTAAATGAAATGGACAATTTCCTTGATAGATTCCATTTGCCAGAATTAAATCAAAATCACGTAAATAGATTAAATAGTCCTACATCCCCCAAGGAAATAGAAGCAGTCATCAAAAGTCTCCCAACAAAAATAAGTCCAGGGCCAGATGGTTTCAGCACAGAATTCTTGGAAGTGCTAATTCCAATTCTCTTCAAATTATTCTACAAAATAGAAACAGAAAGAACACTACTAAACTCATTCTAAGAGGCCACAGTCACTTTGATACCTAAACCACACAAAGACCCAACAAAAAAAGAGAACTTCAGACCTATCTCTCTTATGAACATTGACACAAAAATACTCAATAAAATACTTGCAAACCAAATACAAGAACACATAAAAGATATCATCCACCATGACCAAGTAGGCTTCATCCCAAGCATGCAGGGGTGGTTCAATATATGGAAATCCATCAATGTAATCCACCATGTAAACAAACTGAAGGAGAAAAACCACATGATCATCTCCTTAAATGCCAAAAAAGCATTTGACAAAATACAACACCCATTCATGTTTAAAGTCTTGGATATATCAGGGATACAAGGCAAATACCTAGTAAAAAACGATATACGGCAAGCTTATAGACTACATCAAACTAAACAGAGAGAAAGATAAATCAATCCCACTGAAATCAGAGACAATGCAAGGTTGTCCACTCTGTCCATATCTCTTTAACGTAATACTTGAAGTTCTAGCTAGATCAATAAGACAAGTAAAGGAGATCAAGGGGATACAAACCAGAAAGGAAGAAGACAAAGTATCACTATTTGCAGACGATATGATAGTATACCTGAGTGACCCCAAAAATTCAACCAGAGACCCCCTTCAGCTGACAAACACCTTCAGCAAAGTGACTGGAAACAAAATTAACTCAAAAAAAAAATCAGTAGCCTTCTCGTATACAAAAGACCAAAGGACGGGGAAAGAAATTAGGGACACTACACCCTTCGCAATAGACACTAATAAATACAGTACCTTGGCGTGACTCTAACCAAGTGAAAGACCTTTTTGAAAAAAAACTTCAAGTCTCTGAAGAAAGAAATTGAAGAAAATATCAGAAGATGGAAAGATCTCCTGTGCTCATGATCAGTAGGATTAACAAAGTGAAAATGGCCATCCTGCCAAAAGCAATCTATAGATTCAATGCAATGCCCATCAAAATACCAACACAATTCTTTACAAACCTTGAAAGAATGATTCTCAACTTCATGGGGGAAAAAAACAGAATTGATAAAACAATCGTGTACAACAACAGATCATCTGGATGTATCTCCATCCCTGATCTACACAGCAATAGTAATAAAAACTGCATGCTACTGGCATAAAAACAGAATGGTGGATCAATGGAACCAAACAGAAGACCCAGAAATAAACCCACACACCTATGGATACTTGATTTTTGACAAAGAAGCCAAAACCATTCAATGAAAAAAAGAGCATCTTCACCAAATGTTGCTGGTCTAACTGGATGTCTGCATGTAGAAAAATGCAAATAGATCCATATTCATCACACTGCACAAAATTAAAGTCCAAGTGGATCAAAGTCCTCAACATAAAACCAGATACACTGCAGCTGTCGGCAAGATGGCGGCGCCGGGAGGACTCTCATTCTGAGCAGCAGCACAGCAGGATCGGCACAGTGACCAGCAATCAGAACTCGCAGCCATAAAACGCAAGTGATTGTGTTTCCCAGGTGAGAGGATACCCCACAGTGGGGGATTAAATCAGCTTTAACTCACCCGGCTAAACCTCAGAAGAGATCCCGGTTCCACCAGGCTCTTCGTCGCCAGCCCAGAGCCACATGCCAGCGTGATCTGGTCACTGTCCCAGACTGAACTGTGGGCCCACAACATCACAGACTGGATTTTCCAGTCGAGAGATAATCCCACGGAGAAGGAAACGATTGGGACCAACCTTAGGTCACCCAGACATCCCCTGGAAAAGACTCGGGTTCCACAGGCGCCCCAGGAGCCAGCCCAAAGCCAGAGCCAGGGAACTCAGGTTCCAGCACAGAGCCCTGCCTGTGTGCCTGATTTGCCACCTCAGATAGAACTGTGGGCCCCAGGGCACCAAAGACTGAGTTTCACTGTCGGGTACAAACCCACAGGAGGGAAATGGCTGGCCTGATCTCAGAGCACTCAGCTGATACCACCACCCCGAAAAGGTCTCAGGAAAATTACCCAGTTTAGGCAGAAGCCCAGGCTCCCAAAGGCAAGAAAGGCGGAGTCACGGGCGGGCGTCTGTGCCTGTGGGTTCTACTTGCCACCCCAGACAGAACGGTGGTCCCCAAAGCAAAGACTGGGTGGAAAGGAGGAAACCCCACAGCGGGGGGGATCATCAGGTCTATCGCTCAGGACACCCAGCACCAAAAGACTTTCTGGATTCACACAGACTCTAGGCTCTAGCTATCTAATACAGGCAGGAGCGCTGTGCTCAGCCGCCATTATTGAGTACCCCTAGGGCACTGGGGCACACAGCTGCATCCTCAGACCTACAAAAGCCAGAGAGCCATTACAGTAGTCCTCAGATACTGTGCCAAGGATCAACCTGTTTTCCCTAGCTAGACTGTCAAAACTATGGGAATCCCTGGTCCTTCAAAAGGGCTGCACCCACAGCATCTGGACCAGAGCAGTGCCCACAGCCACCATCCCAGACAGGAACACACAGCTTCTGGTCCAGAGTGAGGCACCCAGCCTTCAGACCAGAGTGGAGTCCTCAGTTACCAGCCTCCAGACCAAAGCAGCGCCCCCAGGTGCCAACTCAACCTAAGTGCACATTCTCCAGGCCCAGAGAGAGGAGCACTCAGCCTCTGGCCCAGAGACTTGCTGGGTGCTCCTCTCACTTTCCCAGACAGAACTGTGTGCCCCAGGATAACAGACTGAGTTTTCCTGTTGGGAGAAAACCCCACAGCTAGGGAATCAGCAGGTTCTTCAAGAGGACTGTACATGGAAAACTGTAACAACAGCAGCAGCTCACTAAACTTATAACGAGAAACCCAGCAGTGGGGCAGCTGTCTTGAGAACTTCTATGGGTAAGAGGAGAGCCCCCCCTTGCCTAACAAAGACCACAGCTACTACTCAGGTCTATACACCTGAGGTGAGCAGTGGCAACTCCGGAGAAACACTGGCCATACAGTGACCATAACCAAAAAGCAGAGGAGGACTCCTTCAGGAAAAACCATCTTCCGGCCAA